CCAAAGAAACACATGACAAGCAACAGGGGGGTAAAGGGTGAGAGACAGCCGAATTAGACAGCACATCCGGGCCTGCGTGCGCTGGTCTCCTTGATCCACCGTCAAGGGAATAAGCATCGAAGGCATTTGGAAAGGGAGGGGGGATGAGTGTGTGCATATCAGTGTATATGTATGTGTGTGTGTCCACAGTTCAGCTGAGACAGTGTCCTTTGCCCTGCCAGGCTAAGTAAACAGTCTACCAGCCAACCCAGGTGGCCTTGCATGGAATGGGAAGGAACAGACTCAACACAGTCGTTATCAGGGTGTTGTTGTTCAGCTCCAGCCTTGCAGCTGGCACCAAAGGGGTATGCGCATGAAGTGATGGTGCTTTTTACTTTAGTGCGAACAGCTCATATGAATTTCAAAGCAGTTCTACAGTCCAACACTGGTCTCTCAATCTCCCGTTGGAGAGCCGTGAGCTTCGCCATACTTGCGTTCTGCGATGTTGTCATTCTTGTGCTCAATGAGCCCATTTTGAGAAACTCACGCCTCTCCCATCGTTCCAATCCCAGCGGGCAGCCTTGTGGGGGTTTGAACAGCCGGTTCCGCTTTCTCAAGCCAGCTCCGATCAGCCAGAACCCTGTTATCATGGTTCCGAATAGGTAGATATCTTCAGCACTCAGGCTCACCCGAGCCCAAACTTCTCGTTGAGAAAGGGGTGTCAATTGCATTTAAGGACCAGTTTTCAACAGGACAATGACCCCAAACACACCTCCAGGCTGTGTACTAGAAGAAGTATACTAGATGGCGGCGCGCACAGACGCAGCGGCTCTATGCTCTCCACTTAGGTGCCTTTCTTTTTGGTTTCTCCACTTTTTCTTCTTCTTTTGTTTTCCTTATTGTGAAGCCAAATTTTCCTACAACCATCTGGAATTATGCAAGATCGGATATAACAGCCAGATCCCCATTACCAGTGATTATCAGAGGGTGCACAACATCCCCCCGGAGATAGCGAGAACATCGGGTGCTCTGTGGATTGTTATCGGCTCTGCCAAGAAACGCAGGCGGCGGAAGGAACGCAAACAAAAGCGGGGATGCCTGCCGGGCCTGCTAGCCAGGCTAAAGAGGCAGCCTTTCAAACCACCGCTCCCGAGCATCTTTCTGACCAACGCACGGTCGGTTGTCAACAAAATAGACGAACTGAACCTACTTCTCGCCGCACAGCCAATCGTCCGTGACTGCTGTGTCCTGGTCGTCACGGAGACATGGCTCACTCCGCGAGGCTCCGCCTACGATAGCCGTAATGCTCCGACAATCCATCAAGCGGTGCGGCTTCATAGCTCAGCAAAGTCGTACTAAAACATCTGACAGATTTTCGAGCGCCGTGCACATAAAATCAGTTCGAGGTCAGTAAACACAACCAGAGTTCAGACATAAGGCACACGGGATTATAAGGAGCTCTGTCAACTTTCAGAAAAATCAAAGGATTGGTTTTAAGTGCGCCGTATTTTCCAAACAACACGGTAATAACGACGGCCCGCTAGCATGCGCTACCAAAAATAGTGCTTTGTTGTGTATCTGACGGACGAAAGCTAAACCAGTTCCACACCAGTGAAGCTGCATTTTTACAAACCAGTTCTGGTTCATGTTTCATTCAACGATCTGCTTTCGCTCTTCTCATTCTGCGTCATCATCCAATTCCACCTGTGATCTTGTGTCACCATTGCTCCCTGAGCTTTGTGTTGGTTCTTCACCTGACAAATAGGACAAACATGACAATAAGAATAAAATGTGGAGCTGCTTCAGTGTGTCTGTCACTTTGTGCAGATCTTGACTCATCAGTAATGTTTGTAGGCTGAGTGCGTTTTTAAAACAAGTTGTGCAAACTGCACTACAAGGTGGAATATTTGCAAAATCATGACTATGACCTATGAATACGTCAGTGCCATTAAGATGAAATTATTGTGTCACCAACATTTTAAAGTTAGACATATAATTCTAACAGCCTCTGTAAACTAATATCCGGGCTGCTCGAGGCTCCGTTTTCTCTGACAGCTTCAATTAGATTAGAAACGCTGCTCTGAGACTGAGAGAACTAACAGTGCTGCCTGCTGTGCAAACACGTTATTCATGGTTACATACAGTTTTAGACTGATGTGGGACAAAGCCTAGCATAGCCTGTAACGTTATTGTGACGGACACATTTTATGTGTCAGACCCAGGACCCTGAGCAGTTATGGACTAATATTATGATGTATGTATTTTGTATTGCTGTCCCTCGTTCTCCCTGCTTGTAGACGTGTGTGTGTGGCCCTGGCAGGTGATTGGCCACTAGGGCTGGGTATCGTCACTGATTTCTAGAATCGATTCAATTCCGATTCACAAGGTCCCGAATCGATTCGATCCACGATTCGATTTAATTCGATTCGATTCGATTTAAATCTGGGATATTTTGACAGTCAGAAATATTATAATTCAGATCAGTACATTTACATATTTTTGTATCAATAAAAAGGAAGCTGACACACGCAAGACTTTATCAAAGGTGTGAGCATCACAGCAGAGGCCTTTGTGTCAAAGTAGCTGAAGATAAAACACAGAAAAACATGAAGGTGATTTTCCTGGCCTGGGATTTTATAAAAATATTCTGCAGTACATCAAAAACGAAAGAAAACCATTAATCAACATATGAACATTACCTCTGAAGTTACAGCGGTTTTATTAGAGACACGGTTAAGCGTTTTGCATTTTGAATAATTTTAAAAAGTTTAAATTTGTTCAGTATTGAACAGCAGAAATGAGGTTTTCTTTTCGGAAGAATGTAAAAGGGAAAAAAACAGCGGCCGACAGCCTGTAAACAGCAGTAGACTTGTGCGTAACAAGCAAGCGAATAATGAAGAAAGCGAAACTGTTCTTGAAGTACAGAGAGAGAGCTGTGCATCGCGGTGGAAGCAAAACAGTAAAAGTCAGAGTGAATACATGACGATGTTTATGTGAATCTTCTTTTGCTGCTGGTTCGGTCAATATTGTTTGGAGAGAGATCAAACTAACAGCTTTAGAATCAGCGCATAAAGGGCGTGAACACAAAGCTTGGACCCGCCGACACATCAGAATCAGCAAGCTGTCGGCTTTCAGCCCCGACCGTGTCCTTGCCGTTGGGTGAGAAAGGCGACATCTCACTGATTCTGATCCGCGGGTCGCGCTGTGTGTTTAAGTCTATGTGCAGAATCCGTGTTCCTGCTCTCATTTACTGTCTTAGCTGTTTGGTGGTTCTTGAAATTTTGTGAGATGTCACCAGAGATTCTGGCATTTCGGGCAAAATAAATTTATATTAAAAAATCGATTCAGGATTTTAATGAATCGATTTTACGTTATCCAAGCCAGAATCGATTTTAATCGATGAATCGATTATAAAAACCCACCCCTACTCCTCGTGTTTCTTGACCCGGACAAATCTCTTCTGCTTGTTGCTTTTCCTTAGTCGTGGTTTCTCATGTTAGTGTTTTCACTATGCCTATTTCACATTTTCATTGCCTGATTGCAACATCTGTACTGTTAATTGTAGGATCTAAAGAGATAAGAGTTCAGCTTACTGGTGTGGCCCTCCCAGTTTCTCATGTGCCCACCCCTGCTCAGAAGCGCCCTAAGGGGGAGAAAAGTGATGAATCTAAGGTCCCATGACTGACAGGGACAGAAAGTATTAACATGTCACCATCAACGTTTGCTTCACAAGGTACTTATAAATGTGTTTGTTTCATGGCATTAGTGTTGTTTTGTTTTTGCCAACAAAGACCGGTTTGGTTTCTTTCAGGTGCACGTGCTCCAAGGTGATGCTGAGAGCTGATGTTTCACAAAAGAAAGACAGACAGATGGAAATGAAACTTATACCAAAGTCCACATGAGAGAAACTGCTTGACTTTTTTAATATTAGTTAGTTTACTTCAGTTCTAACAGAAAATAATGTGTTTCTGTTATTTTAGCCAACATGCACCTGCCTGCACCAATTACAAATGTGAAATGTAATACATATATGTATTACATCACTTATGTGCCAACGTGCTTCCATGGTATAATTCAATTCAATTCAATTTTATTTATATAGCGCCAAATCACAACATAAGTCGCCTCAAGGCGCTTCATAGATACAGAGAAAAACCCAACAATCATATGACCCCCTATGAGCAGCACTTTGGCGACAGTGGGAAGGAAAAACTCCCTTTTAACAGGAAGAAACCTCCAGCAGAACCAGGCTCAGGGAGGGGCGGGGCCATCTGCTGTGATTGGTTGGGGTGAGAGAAGGAAGACAGGATAAAGACATGCTGTGGAAGAGAGACAGAGGTTAATAACAGGTATGATTCAATGCAGAGAGGTCTGTTAACACATAGTGAGTGAAGAAGAAACACCCAGTGCATCATGGGAATCCCCAGCAGCCTACGTCTATTGCAGCATAACTAAGGGAGGATTCAGGGTCACCTGGTCCAGCCCTAACTATATGCTTTAGCAAAAAGGAAAGTTTGAAGCCTAATCTTGAAAGTAGAGATAGTGTCTGTCTCCTGAATCCAAACTGGAAGCTGGTTCCACAGAAGAGGGGCCTGAAAACTGAAGGCTCTGCCTCCCATTCTACTTTTAAATACTCTAGGAACAACAAGTAGGCCTGCAGAGCGAGAGCGAAGTGCTCTAATAGGGTGATATGGTACTACAAGGTCATTAAGATAAGATGGGGCCTGATTATTTAAGACCTATACTGATCTAATCTCTGGCTTAGGCAGCTGTCCCACTCCCATCCCCTCAGACCCACACTCCTGACACTGAACCAGCACCACTGATTTCTTAAGAAGTAAAATCTTTTGCCAAAAATGTGTCTAATTGCAGGAGGTTCCTTGGGAAATTGTCTTGGTCCTGCAGTCCTCTCTGGTGTCCTGTCACTGCTTGTTATTGTGTGTGTCTCTTTTCTCTGCACTCCTCCCTGCCTGGACAGTACTTCTCTCGGGTTCCTACGTACCTGCTGACAATCAACTCACCTGCTGCGCATCATCTTCATCTGATCGGTCACCACTTAAGGTGGCGGCTGAGTCGGATTCCTGCTGTTCACCTTGGACCCTTGTTGGGTGATGAGTGTGTTTGTGAGGAGCGTCAGCATGGAGTTTGATCTGGGACGTGCGAGTGACCGGCTCTGTGAACAGAAGAGTTTGCTTCCCTTTCCCTGGATCCCCTGGCGCCCCCTTCCTCTCACTACTGTATGTACAGAATCGGGGTTCTGTAAATAAACGCAGGTTGAGTTTGAGTCCTGCCATTTGCCTTGACAGATTTTTTTTTCATGTATTTTGTAATAATAATTCATTATAACTCACATAAACAGAGCATTTTTGGAAAGGTGTCTATTATATTTTGCACACTGCCTATGACAGATTGTTTTAGTTGGCTATACTTTGTTTGAAAAAATATTTAAGTAATATTTATCAATACTTAATGTTACAAATAAAAATGTTTAAGTTATAAAAATACTTTTTATAGATGACATTTCCAAAAAGTTAACGTATTTTTTTGTATTTGGTACCAATCAATGTAAAAAAAAAATCTAATAATGTTATCATCATATACCCCTGCAAAAATATCTACTTACCTAAGTAGGATATTGATCCATTTCTTTTAGGGCTGTCATGGTTTGCGGTATCCACGTTTTTTCACGGCGCCCCTACCCCTCAATGCTGGCACCGAGCAAGTTACACGGGGAAGATGAACTGTCTCATCCCAGTCACAGGTACACTGAAACACCGTCCGCAGATTTGTTTTTACTGTAAGTTTCGCAGCGTCGTATGAGCACATGCGCCTCAGCTCGTGAGTCTCGTGCCAGCGTATGGCACCGTTGATCTGTTTCGTCGCGGATGTCCTGCTACAACAGCGAAGTTGTGGTTAAAAAACAAAACGTCAACAAACCAATGTGCAAATCCTTCCTCGCGTGCGTGTGTGCGTGTGCACGCGCGCGGAGGGGAGGGGGGGCTCCAGCCAGTCAGACGCCAGCGACTGGAGCTGGAGGAGCGCGAGGTTGTATTCGCGTGCAGTGAAGCAGGAGGACGCGGAGGACCAGAGCCGATGTGTGCGGTGACAACTGAGCGAGTCCAGGCAGTGAACTAGTTCTCAGTCTTTAACGCCGGGAGAGCAAATCACTGATCGACGCCACTGCCTACAGCGCACCGGAGCTTTCCTTAAGAAGGGCCCAGAAGTTCGCCGAGGGATGGATCGATCCCGGGGGTATCACCGCAACTGCTGCTGACACTCCTTCAGGGAAGTTTGAGGTGTTTGGAAACTACCGTGTGACTCTGTCCGGTACCATGCTGACACTTACGCAGAGTATGTAAAGTTATTCGTTAAATCCTGCAACTCTAACGAGAGTCTGCTCCCCCGGCTGCTTTGCAAAGTGTGAATAAGTGGTTTTATAGCGTGTGTGTGATTGTGCTCCTGAAGAGCTGCTACTTTCTTCATGCGCTGTTCTCATTTTTATGTCCAGCAGTTGCACTCCAGCGTATCTGTGCTCAGTGTGTGTATCAGTGTGGGTTATTCACGGTGCTGCTATGCAGACTGACTGGAGCCACGCTCAGACAGTTCCACTGTAACCCCAATTCTGAGGCCTGGACTGCATTCACAGAAAGAAACCTTTACAGCTCTGCACTTCTCCATCCAGAGGGACAACTTGTACTGAGCAGCAGATGTTACACAGCTTTATGTACTAACGTGGATTATTCAGAGACTGCTATGAAGACAGAGTGGAGCCACAGAAAACCTGCTTGTAAAACTGAAGTAATGCACACGATTGTGCAGTTGTCCGTGCAATGAAATAAGCTAACGGTGTATTCCTGAATGAAACACTGGGACCAAAAGTCTTTTTTGTGCAGTAGTGAAACACATTCTTCCAGGAGGTGAAGGCTCAGCTGATGCTCGCTCCTACACAGTGAAAGAACTGAAATGATTTACTGGACAACTTTTAAGATTTTGTAGTTCATGTACATTTCCAAATATCACCGTTTTTTGTGTTCAAATCCGATTTTACGTTACCTGTTTGTTACCCTAACTGTTGCAAAATGAAGAATCCCCTTCCTCTGAGTAATATGTGGAACAGACCTGATAACAAAGACCCACAGCAGGTCTCTGTGCCTAGCACTAACAAGAAGTTCAAGAGGAAGTCCCGCGAACCTAAAAGGTTTTTCAATGGCCCCGAGCCCGACAGGATGAACACCTACACAGTTGACGTGACTGATGCAGACTGGGTAGATGACGCCCATATGGAGTCGCATAATGTCCACAAGCTGGCTCCACTCAAGAGACACTTGATGATGTCACAAGAGCCGATGGCCAGTACCACGGGGATTCTGTCAGGATTAAAAGAAGACATGGCTGCAGCTCAGAGTGGTGGTGCCATAGATATGAGAATTGGCAGTAATGTGCCTGTTGATGCTTCCAAAGTTTCCCAGGTGCCCACCTCCTCATTCTCTAACCCAGAGATCTCCCACTGGCCCACCTCCATCTCCCAGCCTCTGTCCAGCAGACTAAAACTGGGCCTTCAGTCGATATTCCCTCCTTCAACATCAACCTGCAACTCAGCCAGTCACCAGGTGTTTTCCTTAGAGGCGCCTCCCGGCCAGTCTGCCGCCAGAGTCTCACAGTCCTCCGAGTGTCACGAACATATGGATCCACAGGTCCCTTCGCATAAGGTGAATATGTCCTTTCACATATAATCGTGTATAAAAGAATGTACACCCTCTTTAAATTCAAAGGTTTTAATTGCCAGTAAATAATAAACAGTCCTCTGGTCTTTAGCTGGTTTAAAACGATTTAAATGCAGCCACGGATAAACCAAAAGGGGTATTTTTCATCTGACCTCAAAATAAGCCAAAATACAGAAACAATGTGTGAACCACCAACTACAACCTTACCCAAGGACGTTTGGCATGTAGGCTGGGCTGAATCACCAAAGTGTTGATCAGTCGATGACCTGCTCTACCTCCTGAGCTACACTGAAGTGAAATGCTGTGGTGGGACCTTGGGAGAGCTGTGCATAATGTTTGCAACCCTCAGTGAACTGAAGCAAATGACCTCATTAATTGTCCAATCAACTGAAACTTGTTCAATGAAATGTGGCCAATCAAGTCATCGACTAACTTCTCCACATCATGTTCTTAGGGTTAAATTGTCAGACTTAAAAGCCATTTATGATTTCACAAAAATTCTCACCTTTTATAGATTAAGAGGACTCCTGGAAGAATTGAATATATATTTAATTGATTGATAAGTAATCAAATAAAAGGAAAAAACGTTTAAGATAGTCCACGATCCAAAGGTTGCTGCCAGAGTAAGTAGGAAATGCATCCTAGAAGGTAAGCTCAGTGATAGTGTGCTAACTCCAGGCCTAACCCCATGGCCCGTGTTTCACCAGGAGTCTCTGAGGAAGCGGATTGGGTTGAGTCCTGATGGATCTGGGCATCTTCCAGAAGTCAAAGCCATCCAGCAGACCAGGAGGCTGCTAGCAAACGCCAGGGAGAGGACCCGTGTCCATACCATCAGTGCTGCATTCGAGGCTCTGAGGAAACAGGTCAGACTCACACTTTATAATGTCCCTCTATGTACAAATATATGTTTTCTGATGGCTGGTTGACAGCCAGGTTCATCTTCTGAGAGACACACATCATCTCCCTAAAAAGAAACTCTGAAGGTGTCGCACCGACTCCTACGCTGACAGGATGAAAACCTGGGTAGATGAGTGACTGTCTGTCCACCATCCTAAAGTTTTCCTCAGCCTTTGTTTGCACTTTGTTTGCATTGTAGATTCTCACTGAAGGCATCAACACATGTGGAGTTATGCATTAAACCCAAAAGCTGTGAAATGTCTGCAAACATGTTTTAGATTTCAGATTCTTCCTCATATCCAGCCTTTGCTGTGATTCCTGCTCACTCTCTGCATCCTCTCCATGAGCTTCACGAGGTCGTCGCCTGGAATGGTTTCCAGCAGTCTGATGGGGTTCCCAGAGCTGCTGAGTCAGTTTCATCATAGCTCTTGATGTTGTTTCTCTTTACTTAGCTGATTGGTTCTTACCATAATATGAATTCTAACAGTTGTCAAACAGGCTGTCAGCTGTGCACCAACCTGACTGCTGCCAACACACCTGATGGTCCCAACTCCACAGGTGAACCCCGACAGGCTCACCTGTGAGGTGAATCCATGTCAGGTGGCTGTTTCATGAAGCTCACTGAGAGAAGACTAAGCACTGTGGACAAAGCGAAGCGCGGCTCAAATATAAGACATATTTAGACTTATTTCTTTAGTTACATGATTCCATATGTCCTGCTTCATATATTTGATGTCTTCAGTTTGTAAAGTAAAGCTTCTCCGTGTATATCTCTGAATCTATTTCACAATACATTACAACACGAGTTGTTTCAGTGTAGCTGTGTAACGGCGTAAACACCTTAACTACACTACTTATCACTGTCCCTCTGGAGGCTCCACTCTCTGCATTGTGAGGTCATATGTGGAGATTGATATTACTCACTTCCATTAATGGTGAAAAGGTTTGGAAGTGTGAAACCATGGTTTCCTTAAACCTCAAAGACTTAATCAAAATGTGGTTTTGTCTTTGGTACCACGTGATGAGCTAATACGTGATGCACTAACAACAGTAATAGAGGATAAGTCCATATGTTTCTCTTTGAAAACAGCACAACACTTTAGACAAACGAGAAGAGGCTAAAGGAGAATCATTTCCTTCTCTTTTCCTTCCTCCAACCACGGACCGTGCTCTAGGTGCCGTGTTACTCGTACGGGCAGAAGCTCTCCAAGCTGGCGATCCTACGTATAGCCTGCAATTACATCCTGTCTCTGGCTCAGCTCGCGGAGCTGGACTACAGTTCAGATCACAGCAGCGTGAGCTTCTCTCAGTGTGTTGAACAGTGCACACGGACCCTGCAGGCCGAGGGAAGGAGCAAGAAGAGGAAGGTGAGGTGGAACTCCCATAAACATGCATTTACAGTTAACTTTTATCACACACGTTCTTGAATGATTGGGCCCCATCATATGTTAAAGATACCACAGTACCACGTTATCCCAGAACAGCACATTGCAGGCTAACTTTGCTTCCTGTAGTTTCCAAAAGTT